AGAGAGTGGAGCCAGAAAGATTGGAATACACTTGACCTTATCTTCACTAATAATAATGATCTGGTACGAAACATAACATAATCGAAGCAGGGCTCCTGACCAGCAAAATAACATCAGTTATGAGGGTGCCTTCACCAAATTCAACTTCGATAACGGAAATATACACAATGTGATCATAGTAACCATGTCCTTAAATGAAACAAGCTGGGAAGATATCCTCAACAACACGGATTCGAACCTTTGCATAGAAAGAATTAATAAGTCTGTTGCACTTGAGGTATGCCTAAGGCACATTTCCCTAATGTAATCTAAAAAGAGAGAGACGCTTCCTCTATAGGCAAAGGCAAAGAATCACAGAGCTGCTCCAAAGGGCCAGTCTGTTTAAAATATGGAAGGAGGCACTGACCAGAGAGATAGAAAGTGTCGAACTTAAGCTTAAAGAATCATTCAAGAGCCAAGAAACACAGTAAGAACTTAAAACCATAAATTAAATTGGAAAAAAAATTATGCCAAATGTAGGGCTAAAACCACATCCAGTATTGGTCCCCTGCTTAAACGAAATGGGATTTACACACATATGACTTCAAAGAAATAAGTGAGAAACTAAAATCCCAGTACGAATCAGCGTTTAGTGAGCTGCTAATCAAACTAAGGGTCGACAGTCTAAATGGTTTTTTTTATGACCATGACTCAAAATTTGGCTAAATCAAGAATTTCATATAATCCTAACACCACAGAACTTTGAAAAAACAATAAAAGACATGCCCATGCATTCTGCCCCAGGCCCAGAATAGTGGAATGTTGTGTTCATCAAGAATAGCAAGAAACTCCTTTCACGTGCCTTAAATATTTTATGGAGAGGGAGGCAGTAAAATAATTGCAAAGAATTACAGACCTATAGCGCTTACGTCCCACATCATAAAAATCTTTGAAGGTGCTCTAAGAAGCAAGATCGCCGACCACTTGGATACCCAACAATTGCACATCTCAGGACAGCATGAGTCTAGAGCAGGTCGCTCCTGCTTGTCCCAACTACTGGACCACTATGACATGGTCTTGGATACACTGGAGGACAAACAAAATGCAGATGTAGTATACGCAGACTTTGCGATCATGGTGTAATACCTGGAGAAAGTTCTGGGGGTCACCGCCCCCACGGCCCAGTCCGTGACCAAGCGTCATGGTGGATCAGGCCTGATCAACCAGGCTGTTAATGCTGGCCGCACGTAATCCAACGTACGAACCACAGCCCGGCTGGTCATATACTGACTTTAGGTGCCTCTCCAGTGCCTGCTTGAAGACAGCCAGGGGTCTATTGGTAATCCCCCTGATGTATGCTGGGAGGCAGTTGAACAGTCTTGAGCCCCTGACACTTATTGTGTTGTCTCTTAACGTGCTAGTGACACCCCTGCTTTTCATTGTGGGGATGTTGCATCGTCTGCCGAGTCTTTTCCTTTCATAGGGAGTGATTTTCGTGTGCAAGTTTGGTACTAGTCCCTCTAGGATTTTCCAAGTGTATATAATCATGTATCTCTCCCTCCTGCATTCTAGGGAGTAAAGGTTTAGGAATTTTAAGTGTTCCCAGTAACTGAGGTGTTTTATCTCCGTTATGCGTGCCGTGAAGGTACTCTGTACATTTTCTAGGTCAGCAATTTCACCTGCCTTTAAAGGTGCTATTAGTATGCAGCAATATCCTAGCCTAGATATAACAAGCGACCTGAAGTGTTATCATGGGCTTGGCATCCCTAGTTTTGAAGGTTCTCATTATCCATCCTGTCATTTTTCTAGCAGATGCGATTGATAACAATGTTATGGTCCTTGAAGGTGAAAGCCTCCGACATGATCACTCCCAGGTCTTTGACATTAGTTTTTCGCTGTATTGTGTGGTTGGAATTTGTTTTATACTCTGATGGAGTTTTAATTTCCTCACGTTTACCATATCGGAATAATTGAAATTTCTCATCGTTGAGGGGAAACGCCCAGCATTTCCACCCGGCAGGGGACTGAACAGCTAGAGCGTTGTCTAACTAGCCAAGGGAGCGAGCCACTGAATCAAATAGAGCACACTTTAGCATTAACTGAATTAAATATAGCACACTGTAGCACTAATTGAAATCAATAAATATGGTAATTGGTTGAGGCGCCATGTATTAGATTCTAAGCTATAATAAGAACTGTTGTTGTTGACTCAGGCGCGGTTGTGTAATAATAATAATAATAATAATAATAATAATAATAATAATAATAATAATAATAATAATAATAATAATAATAATAATAATTTAATTTTGACATGGCACATAGTTGTACAGAAGAATATAATAGATGGGTGTACATGCCAAAAGCCCCATTGTATTACCTGGAGTTTACCTGGAGAGAGTTCCGGGGGTCAACGCCCCCGCGGCCCGGTCTGTGACCAGGCCTCCTGGTGGATCAGAGCCTGATCAACCAGGCTGTTGCTGCTGGCTGCACGCAAACCAACGTACGAGCCACAGCCCGGCTGATCAGAAACTGACTTTAGGTGCTTGTCCAGTGCCAGCTTGAAGACTGCCAGGGGTCTGTTGGTAATCCCCCTTATGTGTGCTGGGAGGCAGTTGAACAGTCTCGGGCCCCTGACACTTATTGTATGGTCTCTTAACGTGCTAGTGACACCCCTGCTTTTCATTGGGGGGATGGTGCATCGTCTGCCAAGTCTTTTGCTTTCGTAGTGAGTGATTTTCGTGTGCAAGTTCGGTACTAGTCCCTCTAGGATTTTCCAGGTGTATATAATCATGTATCTCTCCCTCCTGCGTTCCAGGGAATACAGGTTTAGGAACCTCAAGCGCTCCCAGTAATTGAGGTGTTTTATCTCCGTTATGCGCGCCGTGAAAGTTCTCTGTACATTTTCTAGGTCGGCAATTTCACCTGCCTTGAAAGGTGCTGTTAGTGTGCAGCAATATTCCAGCCTAGATAGAACAAGTGACCTGAAGAGTGTCATCATGGGCTTGGCCTCCCTAGTTTTGAAGGTTCTCATTATCCATCCTGTCATTTTTCTAGCAGATGCGATTGATACAATGTTATGGTCCTTGAAGGTGAGATCCTCCGACATGATCACTCCCAGGTCTTTGACGTTGGTGTTTCGCTCTATTTTGTGGCCAGAATTTGTTTTGTACTCTGATGAAGATTTAATTTCCTCATGTTTACCATATCTGAGTAATTGAAATTTCTCATCGTTGAACTTCATATTGTTTTCTGCAGCCCACTGAAAGATTTGGTTGATGTCCGCCTGGAGCCTTGCAGTGTCTGCAATGGAAGACACTGTCATGCAGATTCGGGTGTCATCTGCAAAGGAAGACACGGTGCTGTGGCTGACATCCTTGTCTATGTCGGATATGAGGATGAGGAACAAGATGGGAGCGAGTACTGTGCCTTGTGGAACAGAGCTTTTCACCGTAGCTGCCTCGGACTTTACTCTGTTGACGACTACTCTCTGTGTTCTGTTAGTGAGGAAATTATAGATCCATCGACCGACTTTTCCTGTTATTCCTTTAGCACGCATTTTGTGCGCTATGCATAGCATTTCGGGCAAGCTTAATATTAACTTAAGATTAGGAAGGCAATAATAACAGGTTATTATTTGGCTGTTTACCTGGAGAGAGTTCCGGGGGTCAACGCCCCCGCGGCCCGGTCTGTGACCAGGCCTCCTGGTGGATCAGAGCCTGATCAACCAGGCTGTTGCTGCTGGCTGCACGCAAACCAACGTACGAGCCACAGCCCGGCTGGTCAGGAACCGACTTTAGGTGCTTGTCCAGTGCCAGCTTGAAGGCTGCCAGGGGTCTGTTGGTAATCCCCCTTATGTATGCTGGGAGGCAGTTGATGTGTTACAGTGGGTACAGTAATTACAGATTAAAATTTGCGTATAAAACTGACATTATTACAAATAATGGTACAAATGGAATTTATTTACAATATGGGTTTATTACAATGGGAAAATTTAAAAAACAATTTACAATTTGAGATTATTACAATTTAGTATCATTTAGAACAATTAAATGAAATTAATAATTATTACAATTTAGTAATATTTAATACAAAGAAATTTAAGCATCTAATTTAGAAGTAATGAGTTTATAGTTGAGTAATCATTAGCTCAATATATAATGGTGAATTAAGTTTAAGTTGAGTAGACTTAGAAATTTTTTTTTGTATAGCCTCTGAGTAACTGGTAGGTATTGAGTATGGTTTGTCTGGTTAATTTTGGGTGAGTAGGTGATTTCTAAGTTGAACCTTATATTGATTTGCAGGTAGGGTCCTTCAGTGTTCTCTGACAATAAATTCCAAATCTTAGGGCCCTTTATGTGCATAGGGAGAGATGGACTCGAGGGATATCGAAGAGTGATTTGTGTCTTGTATTATGGCTGTGTTCTGTTATAGTTATCAAGGAGGATTTTGAGAAGAGGGTTTATATTTGAGTGCAGTGTTCTATGTATGTAGTAGACACAATAATAAGTGTGGCTGTCTTGTATATTAAGCAAGTTGACTCTTGAATAGCGGCGGAGTATGCTGTCTTGTGCCGGAGTTAGAAATCAATCGGACTTCAGTTTTTGTTGGGTTATTTAAGGTTTGAGGTGATTTGCTGTGGTTGAGCCCCATGCACAAACTCCATAGGTGAGGTAAGGGTAAATGAGTGAGTGATACAGAGAAAGGAGAGCTGATTGTGGTACATAATATCGTATCTTTGAAAGGATACCTACTGCTTTCGAGACTTTCTTGGAAATTTGCTGTATGTGTGTCTGGAATTTGAGCCCATTGTCAAGGTGGAGACCTAGAAATTTGCCCTCTGTGAGTCCAGAGATAGGTGAGCCATTTATCTGTCGAAGTTTAGGTAAAGGGGTTCACCTGACCTAAATGGGAACACTGTTTTCCTATTTCTATTTCAAGAGTAACTTCCTTTCCTTTATAATTACCGCCCACATTTCGCAAACATTTTTCCCGGTCTCCCATGAGGCTGTGATCAGGAACACCTAAGCTTCGGTGTCCCTTAATAACCCCCAACAGCAACATGGGTAAGAGGAAGCGTGAAGCTCTAGTTACTGAAGAAGAAACTATTGAATTGCCTCCTCTCCCACCACTTGTTAGAGATTCAGATGAACCTGTTAAAAAGAAGGTAACCCAGTTGATTTTTTTTTTCATGCATAACGTGTGAGATGTGTGTCATGAAGACACTGCTTTTAGTATGGTGGTCAGCCATGTGACGAGTGCAACCTGAACATTTATGTTCGAGTGTTCTTGTTAAAGTCTTTGTATATTTGTTTTCGTACATACAGATGTTTTGACATTGGTTGATAGTATACTCTGCTATATGGATCTTGCGTTTATCATTTATTTCCATTAGTATTAAATGCTAGAATTTATTAGGATTATTAATCCAGATGGTTAGGAACTCCGCTTAGCCAAAGGAAGCCAATCAGTCTGGCTTTGTTTTATTGGATCCTTTGATTCTCTTTACCAGGATGTAACGCACAACTGTACCTAATTACTGTTAGGTGAATAGGAACAAGGAAATATGACCAACATTTCCAGTCATGCCTGGATTGAGCCTGGCTCCTTCAAGTATGAGCTAAAGGTTCTACCATATACATGTATTGGAAATATTTAAATTTTATAACCAGCATTAGGTATTTTTTTTTGTGGATGTTTCAGCGCTGTATGATCCTTGTCAGTTTAGCGCTTTCTTTGATTATAATAATTTGTGGATGTACTGTATGTATATCCATTCCTTGATTCAGAGAGTTCAAGCTACCCTCCCTTTTCTCAGATTGAACCTGATTGCTTCCCATTTCCTAAGCTTTGTATGACTTACAGGCTCAGTGCTCTCTATATATGTATTATAATAATTAAGGGTATACTCTGTTTCAATAAATCCCTAATTAACATCTGTATATGGCATTTATTTAATTTAACCCTTAAACTCTCCAAACGTAGATCTACGTTTTTTCAACATTTGAAAGTATGTAAGAAAACGTAGACCTTTTTTTTTTTTTTTAATTTGAAAATGTGTAAAAAAACTTTGATCTACATTTTTTTTTGTTATATTTGAAAATATGTAAAAAACGTAGATCTACTTTTGGAGCACTACGCATGGGAACGTAGATCTGTTTGGATAGTTTAAGGGTTAATAGCATTCATGTAGTCTAATGAAAAAATATTAAGATTTGTAACAAAATGCCTATACAGTAGTAAATGTATAGATGGAAAGAGTAATATGTTATGATTTTATTTAGGATAAACTTTGGATTAATTTTTATCAAGATTTCTGTTTTTGACATACTGTATATGTATGTCATTCTTAAAAATCATATAAAACCCACAGTATGTCATTTTTATTCATTCTTGCATTTTGTTATAGGTTCCATTTCATTAAAACAGGTACAAAAGTGACCATATAATTAAAATAGATATACAAATGTGACATAGTACATGTATAATGATTTTGGCTAGTGTACCCCTAGCATTATAATTGCTAATTACATGTTTGTTATAAGTTTACATCTAATAATTTATTTAGTGTTTTCAACCTATCACAAGAAAAGTCTGTAGAAAAGAGAATATAAGTACTCCTACTGTAATACTTGTATACTAATATACTATTATGATAAGGTTTTGGAAGTCCAGCAAAATCCCTGACATTTCAAGTTGCCAAAATAAGCAAGTTATCCAGGTGGCAGGTTTAGTGACTTGCTTAAATATATTTATGAGTTATCTAAGACATAGATCTGTTTTACTGCTAAAGGTAGAATCCAGCAAAGCACGCAGGTGCATAGGCTAGGACAAATACACCCATACTGCAAGCTAGCTAGTTCAGGCACACACAGGTACTGTGCATGGATTGCCATACATAGCAGCATAGTGAGGGGAAACTGGGGATAGCCCAAGAGGTCAGACAGTGATCTGTATTACTGCTACAGTAAGGAACAAAGGCTTGGGAGACAGGACAGCACACCCTACCCTAGCGGTTACCTCAATTTCCTCCCTCCCCCCCTCCTCCTCCTCCTCCTACACTCTATCATTCTATCTCTCTCTCTCTCTCTCTCTCTCTCTCTCTCTCTCTCATCTCTCTATCTCATCTCTCTCTATCTCATCTCTCTCTATCTCATCTCTCTCTATCTCATCTCTCTCTATCTCATCTCTCTCTATCTCATCTCTCTATCTCATCTCTATCTCATCTCTCTCTATCTCATCTCTCTCTATCTCATCTCTTACTCATCTCTCTCTATCTCATCTCTCTCTATCTCATCTCTCTCTATCTCATCTCTCTCTATCTCATCTCTCTCTATCTCATCTCTCTCTCTCTCATCTCATCTCTCTCTCTCTATCTCTATCTCTCTCTCTCTATCTCATCTCTCTCTCTCTATCTCATCTCTCTCTCTCTATCTCATCTCTCTCTCTCTCATCTCATCTCTCTCTCTCTATCTCATCTCTCTCTCTCTATCTCATCTCTCTCTCTCTCATCTCTCTCTCTCATCTCTCTCTCTCTATCTCTCTCTCTCTCTCTCCATCTCTCTCTCATCTCTCTCTCATCTCTCTCTCATCTCTCTCTCATCTCTCTTCTACTCTCTCTCTCTCTCTCTCATCTCTCTCTCTCTCTTCTCTCTCTCTCTCTCTCTCTCTCTCTCTCTCTCTCTCTCTATCTCTCTCTCTCTCATCTCTCTCTCTCATCTCTCTCTCATCTCTCTCTCTCTCTCTCTCTCTCTCTCTCTCTCTCTCTCTCTCATCTCTCATCTCTCTCTCTCTCTCTCTCTCTCTCTCTCTCTCCTCTCTCTCTCTCCTCTCTCTCTCTCTCTCTCTCTCTCTCTCTATCCTCTCATCTCTCATCTCTCTCTCTCTCTCTCTCTCTCTCTCTCTCTCTCATCTCTCTCTCATCTCTCTCTCATCTCTCTCTCATCTCTCTCTCATCTCTCTCTCACTCTCTCATCATTCTCATCTCATCTCTCATCTCTCTCTCATCTCTCTCTCATCTCTCTCTCTCTCATCTCTCTCTCATCTCTCTCTCTCATCTCTCTCATTTCTCTCTCTCTCTCTCTCTCTCTCTCTACACAGGGTTCAATAACATTAGGTTAAGGATCCCTAGCTTTATTGACAAGCTATTTACAGGTTAAGGATTCCTAACTTTATTGACAAGCTAAGAGCTATTACTTACAACAGTTCATTTGAAAGCATTTTTATTGTTATGAGACATACAAGTAAGGAACAGGATGAAGTTGGAACCATCTGTGGGCCAGCATTTTCATTTTATCAACTGACTTTATCTCGTTGACAACATAATGCTTTATGAATGTGCTCCATACTCGAGTCATCCTGGGGATAAATGATATCAGTTGAAGTGATGTTCTGGAGAAGGGTACAGCCAGAGTGAAGTTGCTGCTTTCTGCCCATCTTGTGGTATAGAAATTTGCTTCACACTGCCCTCGAAGTGGATCCAATTGTTCTACTTTGACAATATTGGCCTTGTACATAACAGTAAGGCCACCCACATCCCTCCTGTGTTGAAGGCTCTGCTGAAATGACAGATCTATCCAGGATTGGTCCAGGTGAGAGATGAGATGTCTTGCTCTGTTCTCTACTCTGTCAAGCAGTTGCAGATGAGAAGGAGGGCAGGCGAACCAAGAAAGTGGAGCATACTCAAGGTGTGAGCGTACTTGTGCCTCGTACAAAATTTTGCAACCCCTGCTGTCAAGCAGGGGTTGCAAGATACGGCAGAGTGCTGTAAGCTTCCTGGCTGCCTTGTTTGCAAGATTTACAACGTGGTTTTTCATGGTCAGTTTGGAGTCAGATTTCACCCCAAGGATATCAACTTCTTCCCCATTCATCCTTACTGTTGCACCGGCATTACCATCATGGTGCTTAGAGATCATCATCATTTGTGTTTTCTCAGGTGCAAATGTTACTTGCCATCTTTCCCCACGTTGATATAGCTCTTAGCTGTGATTGATGTAGCTTAGAACAGCTGACATTTCTTCTCTTGGATAAGTGAATATCAGTGTACAGTCGCTTGCATATGCATGGGATTCTGGGATGAGATGAAGAAGGTCATTGAAGTAGACATTCCATAGCAATGGTCCCGGAATGCTTCCTTGTAGAACACTTGCCCCAATAGGCTGTCTTGCTGAATCTGTTCCATTGAGAACTACCCTTAGAGATCTACCATGAAGGTAATCACTGAGGAGACATAGCGTAGAGCCTGCAATTCCCAGAGCTTGCAGTTTTGCTGAGAGGTCCTGGTGCCACACCCAGTCGAAAGCACCAGCAATGTCCAGTGCTACCACACAGCTGACTTTGGATTCATCACTGACTGGTGCCACTTAGTGGAGAGGCTTAACAACAGATCAGCAGTAGAGCCATATTTACGGTCACAAAATAGTGAGTGGTAGTCAAAAAATTGTGTCATTTGTCTTGAGATTATTGTCTCAAGGAGCTTGCCAATGATTGACAGGAGTGACACTGGTCTGTAGTTGCTGATTTCTGCTCTGCTCTTCTTTTTGTGAACAGGGACTACATTTGCCTTTTTCCACAGAGAAGGCCATTTACACTGTACTAGGCAGTGCTGAAAGATGCAAGTTGAAGGTGCTGCTAGCTGTTCTGCACATCTCAGCAATCTTGGGCTCAACTTGTCTGGGCCCACAGCCTTTTCTTGGTCAAGCGATTTAAGAAGGAAATGCATCTCTTCCTGCCTTATTGTCACCACTGACAGTTTTGACACAGTTCTTGTAGCTAGCCAAGGAGGGTCCCTTGCTGGATCGGGAACTTGCATTTTGGTAGCAAAGTGTTCGGCAAAGAGGTCCGGTTTCTCTTGACTACTAGTAGAGTTTACCCTCTCTCTCTCTCTCTCTATCTATCTATCTATCTATCTCTCTGCTGCTACTGTCCCTCTCCATCCCACCTCATATTCTTCTCCCCTGCCCTCCCTATATCCCCTAGTACCCTTAAATCTCTCCCTGCTGCTGTCCCCACCCCTCCCACCTCATATCCTTCTCTTCCCTGCCCTGCCTCCCCTCCCCCCTTCCCTTCCCTACAACACCCAGCTATCACAAACTCACTCGAAAGCTCACAGGCTTGTTCTGGGATTCAGTGGGTTACCTAAGAAGGCCAAGAACCAGGGGTCTGGTG